GCGTCTAACCGGCAAGGGGATTTTCCGATGTGATATCGGAAACTCCTATCCGTTTAGGTGGGTGGGTGGGGGGGGAGGAAAATTCCCACATACCCGATATCGAAGGTGTCAAGTTCGTCAATGGTCGTGAATCGGCGCGCGTGGATACGTGTAGGCTGCGCAGATCAAATCGTGCTTACACGCATCCCCGCGAGGTATTCGCTTGTTTCTGGACAAACAACTACCCAATCACCTAATCACTTCGTGATCCCGCACGCAATCGTTCTTGAGCATGCAAGGTGCTATCAGGCATCACAGCAACAACAGTGGATCAAAAAGGATAAACAACAATGGAAGCAATAATGACAACTACGCAAAAGTTTCTACTATTCTTATGAGTGTATCAGAATGGCAAGCAAAGGCAGGGACCAGACAAAAGAAAAGCAACATACATACCATCCATTCATTCAACAAAACACACAATAATTGAGATCAAGATCAGTCGCAAAACGAGTGTAGGCTGAAACCGAGGCAAGGCTTCCGAAAGCAAAAGAAAACGGGCAAGTTGCCCTGAGCCGAGATCAAAATTTATATACAAAAGCAAGGAGGGAGACAAGAGAAAGAAAATTGCAAATCCATGTCCATCAACCTCAACTCTTTGTCTCTCTCTCTCCCTCCGATGCGGACAGTCCGTCGTCACGCACCAACCCACAAAGTCGGCCCGCTTAGTCCTCCCGCACCCGTCAGGTTCGCTCGCGCCCACAGTCCGCCGTGGCCCGCGTCAACCTCACGCGTTTGGCACCAGCTCATCGGGTCGCCCGACTCCAACTCACCTCTTACTTCGCTTGCGAGCCGACCCTCATTGACCGCGCTCCCCGAGCTTCCAACATCTGGTTAAAAGAGCTATCTAATTGCGCAGCCGAAATTTATAGCGTGCATGCATGCGCGAAGAATACGGTATTGCAAGGACTTAGAAAGGAGATTCGGAGAGAAAGCGCCTACGTTCTGCATGGCCAGATCGCGGCGTGGGGGACGTAGCCACTCTCCACGCATCGATCCGATCATGCAGGGCGCGGGATGACTAGCCACAGAAAAAAGAAAGAGAGGACGGGAAAGACGAAGCTCAAGAAGAAAGATACAGTTACAATGGCGCCCACCCAAAATTACAGTTACTTGCAAGATTAAAGGCGCCGACTAATCAGAGCTCCGTTGTAGCCGCAAAAAGAAGCGCGCAAGAAAGAAAGGGCGCGGCAAAAGAAATCCTGAATTCCTTACGTTACCAACTGTTCGATGGGGAGACGTCTTCCCTGGACGTCTCCGGGAGACGGTCAGGGGGGAGTTGTCCGGAAAATCGGACAACTGCATTTTTGGCACAAAAAAAAACGAAAAAAAAAAAAAAAGGGGGGGGGTCTGCGGACCAGTAGGGGACCCCCCCCAAAAAAATTGAGAGCATTCTGAGCAAAAACGGAAAAAAAAATAGAAACAGGGTTCGGAG